GAAGGATGTTGCCATTTCAACTTGACTCACCCTTTTGTGGGCAAGGCAGGGGTAAAATTTAGAGAAGGAAGTGGTCATTCCAAGTTGACTCACCCTTTGGTGATCCACCCGAGGGTAAAATTTAGAGGAGGAAGTGGCCATTCCATCTTGACGACCCTTTTAACTAAGCAAACATCCGGGAAAGGCCTGTGTGCGCACTTGAGTCTCCCCCATGGACTGTGTGCGCAGATGAGGCGCAAGTGCTAACAAAATGTGTGTGCGCAGATGAGCCAAATCTGTGTGCGCAGATGAGGCGCTGCCCATTGGGGCTTTTGGGTCAATTTCACCGTCGTTGGTGGCATGAATGTTCGGCCATTGAAACAACTGAACCTTCGTGAGAAAATGCACTTCACAGGGTCAACTCCAGCATACTCCAGCGGCCAAGGCAAGCGCTATGGCCTACTTTCGGCCTGGGGCACTGCACTCTTGGGACGAAACCCGCCGGAGGATTCGACCAAACCCGCCGCGAGGATGCAGATGGCGCTGGCCTGTCTTAGCCTAGAGGGTTGGACCCTTCTTCATCGAAACATTGGTGGTGCCATAATACAGAAATATGCAGATTGGTTAATAAAACAAACCGTTGATGAATAAAACAGACCTCTGTTGGCTCCTATGGATTGATATTGTTTTTTTCACCTTAGGGAGGCGGATGAGACCAGCCGAAAGACCAGCCGTCGAGGTCGGTGAAAGACCAACCCTCCCGGTGTTCTGTCTTTCTTTTTCTGGCGAGAGAATGCTGTAGGGCAGTCGTGGAGGTCGGACTTACAACTTGTTTTTCAGCAGGTGGGGGGATATCTATGACACCAAGCAACTCAACTTGTTAAACATAGCTGCATGAGGGTGTACGATAAATACCACACACATCCACCCACTGTCTACTACACAACAATATACAACCCTTATAGGTGGCGAATGGCCTTTGTGGCACCACAGGCGCTCGTTTGCAACATCTCCAATGACCGCTTGGATACCAAATATTTCGAGCACTTCGCAGATGAACCCTCTTATGCGCCCTGTCCGGGTTTGCTTTCGGGGGGTTCGGATGCAGTGGAAGTGAACAGAGTGATCGTGGAAATCAATGGGACAGTTGTTTGCACTAGAGCTGGCCAGTGAACTGTTGCGATCTTTCCCACAAGCAATCTATTGTTTCGCAATGGAGTTGTCACAAACTCCACTTGTTCAACCCGTCTGTCCTAGCACTGCTTTGCTTCCGCAGCCAATTTGGGTCAGGAGCCATTCATAGCTTTTAGGAAGAGGCGTTGCTCTCGCCAGAGGAAGTCTTCCCATGGCCTCTGCAGATGCAGCACCTCTTGGAAATGTGAAGCTGAAAGTGGTGTGTTACACCATCCCCATGATGGGCCACGCGCTGCCCTTGCTGAGTTTGGCCAAGACCATGGCCCAGCGCGGGCATCAGATGATCTTCGTATCATCCAAAGGTCTATCCCAAATGAATGACTTGTGTAGCGCCGTCAAGGTCCACTACGAAGGCCTTGAGGATAGCTATACTACTGAGGAGCTCAAGGCTATTCCAGATCCCACCGGGCCCGTGTTTCGCGAATACTATGAGAGACATGAGAAGCTGATGTTGGAGCTTTTGGTGCGCGAAGCACCCGATTTGGTCTTGGCAGACTATGCGAGTGGCGCTGCGATCACCGCGGCCAGAGAGACGAAAACGATGCTGGTCCTGAACATGGCTTTTCCAGGCACGCTCGTTCATCGGATGCCTGCTTTGGCTTAACTCACATATAACATATTTTTGTTTATTTTATAATATATACTATATAAATACATGTATACAATATATGTCAGTATATTTTGATGTGTATATATATACACAGTACGGTGATTGTAGGGTGCCTTTATCATCACCCACTTTTGGGGAAGGTGGTTTTTGTTGTTTCAACATGCTTTAGCAACTCTTTTTCCCGGTTTGCACAGCAACACAGCAGATATATCCTAAGGATGCGGCTCTTGCGTTTGCCACTGGTGAGGGACGTGGCGCCCTTCGTCGCGGGTCCTCCAGGTTCCTTTTGGGGAATCCAGTTCATCTCACAAATCAGCATTCCGGCGGCCGAGAGAACCTTGACCATCGTGAATAGCTGTCCCATCATGGATGGTGGAGTGAAGCTTCCTCCAAACTATTTTTCATCAGGACCATTGGATGGCTTCGAGAAGAGGGCATTAAGACCAGAGAAACATGCTGATCTTCTGGGGTTCCTGGAAAAAGCCAAAGCTGCTAAGATGCCAGTGGCCTACATTACCACAGGCAGTTTGATGCAGCTCAGCGAAGCTCAAGTCCAAGCTCTCTATGATGGCTTTGCTGCGTGTGATGTTTGGGTCATTTGGTCCTTAAAGAAGGACAAGCAGGTCTTCTTGAAAGACCTCCCAGAGCGTTTCCATGTGAGCGCCTGGGTGCCACAGGCTGAGATCATCCAACGACCTGAACTCTTGTGTGTGTTGACACACTGCGGCTGGGGGGGCACCATGGAGACGATGATGGCAGGCAAGCCGGTGATTTGCTACCCGGGCTTCGGAGATCAACCGGAGAATGCCAAGCTCTTAAACTCCATGGGCTGCGGTCCAATCCTGAATCCTTTGACCTGTACAGCCAAGGATGTTCAGGCAGCGCTTGAGGAGGTGCTGGCCAAGCGCGAGGCATTCACCCAAAAGGCTTTGGAAGTCGGCCAGAGTCTTCGGGAGTCCCCTGGGCCAGTGAAGACCATCGAGCTCATTGAGGATGTGGCAAAGAATGGCTTGGGCTCTTTGGTGGCTCAGCCTTATCATCTTTGGGAGCCAAGGGGCTGCCAAATTAGCTAATGCAACCACTTGTCCTGGCCAAGCTGGGACCCTCAAGTGTTGCTGCTTTTGCCGTGCTGCCACGGGGGAAACCACGACGTAGTTGAGCATGTTTCACCTTGCTTTTGCTTATACAGAAACGATCAGAGAATCCCAGACCCCCCAGAAAAGGAACGAAAAAAGAAAGGGATTTGATTCGCTGTTTGATTTCGCCCAGCGGTCCCGGCTTGCTCTTCCTGGGACACCGAACTGCCCTCCACAACTCTCGGCGCTTTCAGGCCCTCTTCTCGCCGTCGCCGCTGAACACGGTGCCAGTGCCCTGGACGGCGGAAAGACCGCGGTGGTACCGAGCCGAGCCGTAGCGAAGCACCGCGGAAAGCGGGACATCGAGTCAGTGCCGTGCGGGGTGGTACCCCTCCAGAAATCGGCCCCCTCCACGGAGTGTGGCCGGAGTCCGGTTCGGGAGTCGGGAGAAAGCGCGAGCAATCCATGTGTGTTGCAGGGTTGGGTCAAAACCTGGACGGGAGCATTCTAGATTTGGATGAATATCCATGAAGCTGGTGAGTTTAGTGGATTTGGAACACCAGCTCCCCACATCGAGTTCTAAAGTGTTTTAAACATTTCTAGTTCATGGTGACCTTCAGTTTGAACAGATCCTGAACGGAACGTACAAAAACCACAAAGCGTTCGCTTGTTTTCACCTTGGTTAGGACCTCGCGGCTTTGACCGTAGGTGCCGCAGGACACGATGCAGGCAGCCATGGCGCGCCACCCGCACTTGGCCCGAAAGCTTTGGAGACTCAAAGAGCCACCAGAAGGTGGGCAACGTGGTGGACGAGAGAAGAAGACCTGGTGGTTTTTCAATCGAATGCGACGTCATGGTGTACATAGCCCTGCTAGTAGCCCTGCTACTAGCCCTGCTAGTAGCCCCGCTAGTAGCCCTGCTAGTAGCCCTGCTACTAGCCCTGCTAGTAGCCCCGCTAGTAGCCCTGCTACTAGCCCTGCTAGTAGCCCCGCTAGTAGCCCTGCTAGTAGCCCTGCTAGTAGCCCCGCTAGTAGCCCTGCTAGTAGCCCTGCAAGTTGCCCGCTAGTAGCCCTGCTAGTAGCCCTGCTAGTACTTGTTGCCCTGCTATCCCTGGATTTCTGGATGACCAGGGAGAGTGCGAGCTGTTCGGTTTGGGATGTTGCCGACCCTCAGACGTGAAATGATGTAGGACTCTAGAGTCTATAGAGACTCTTTTAGGTGCGCAGGAGTCCTTTGGGCAGACCGTCAGTCCGGCTTATGTAGTTCACATCTGGCTTGTTGAGCGTGCATTCGGTTGCCAGGGAGGCCTCCCTCCAACTGGTACTGTACCAATTTTTGGATCTAAAGAAACCAGAAACAATACGTCCTGTAGACCTAGACAACTGTTTCCCCCCCCCTCGGGCGACAGAGTCCGCTCCAGCGAACGACCATCGCTGCCACAGGCAATCCCTTCGCTGGGCTCTTGCGGAGCTATGGCCTGGATCAGGCGGAGAGCGAGCCGTTGAAACGATCGCTGGTCCTAGCCAGTCGGTGGAAGTCGGTTTTGACCGGCCAACAGAACGAACATCCTGAAAAACCTTTCTGGGGAGTTCATTTCGCCAGTAACTATATATGGACGGACGGAAGAAGGTTATCATTATCATGTTATGATGTTATGTATATATATATATATATCCTCCGTGCTTGGTCCTCTATAAAATGCCTTCATTTGACTCTATAAGTGCCTTTTGGACCCTCATTTTGTAGAGAGTGAGCCGTTTTGTAGCTTTTCCGGATCCTCCGACAGCATTTTACTGAGAGTATGTTTGTTGGTTTTAGTGTTTTTTTTTGCAAGTCTTGTGAACCTGGCAAGAGCATTTTATAGAGTAGTGGAGGGCTGACAAACAAACTTAGCTTGAGATCTGGTGTTGCATTTTAATAGAGAACTTGTTGTGAGAGCATCTGGATCTGGTCTTGTATTTTGTACATATGTTTTTTCGGGGTTGACATATGTGACAGCGATCGCACCTGGCAATAGCATGTTGTAATATTTTATAGAGAGAACATGTGTGAAGCCTTCAACATTCTTATGGAGGGGGGTAGATCCTAATCCCTATCCACAACCTTCCGGATGCATTTTCAAGTCTGCCAAAAAAAGCACTGGTGGTTCCAAACACGAATTCTAATGCCTTTCCAGACCCACCAGCAACTGGGGGAAGCTGATGCGTTTTAAAGGACCCCAGAATGTATCCGCAGGTTTTGTGGACATGCAAGAGCAGTTTTGGCTGATGCGTTTACTAGGCCCCGAAAACTGCATCCGCAGGTTTTGCGGACAGGCAAACACCATTTTTGACCAGGCACCAAAAATGCATCCGCAGGCTTGTGAATGCAGGCAGGCAGGCAAAGGCAGAATCTGGCGAAAACAGTGACAGCACCTCCACCATTGAAAAGAAGTGTCCAAAATTTGGCATCGGGAACCCTAGGCATGTCATTTTATAGAGGCTCTTTGGGCAATTCGAGCCGTGAAGAGAAAGGTCTCTACAAAACGCCTGTCAAATGGTTTTTTGACTGATGCATACTGATTCATGATTTTTGAATTTGATGTACCTTGATTCATCTTTATCCGGTTTTGCATTTTACAGGGATATGTTATCCGAATATGTTTTCCTGGATCTGGTTTTGCATTTTATAGAGGTCTCGTGTTCTATTGAGATCTGGCTTTATCATTTTATAGAGGTGTTATTTTTCATCATATTATACTACTGCTGGATTTGGTTTGGCATTTTATAGAAACACCTTTGCCAGTCATTTTACAGGAATTTTCCCATTATAGAGAGACCATTTCTCCAGTGTCTGAGCACCGAGGATTATGATATAACCTTTATTTTCCCTACTGAGGGGGTCAGTGGTTGGACATTGAGCTCCACATATGATGTGCACGAATGATTCTCAGAGACCTTTCCAAAGATCTGTGGAAACAGATGACACACACACACACACTTAGATAAGGCTTCATCCAATGTCATAATCCACAGGGAAATGAATGCAGGAACCGCACGATCGCTGGGTCAGTCGATGTGAAGGTGTTTGAACAAAGTTTCTCAAAGCGCTCGAAGTCTGCGACAACGTCAGCTGAATCAGTTCGGCTGCAAGATCCAGTGGAAAAGGTTTGGGGGAGTATCGTGAAAGCCGCCATTGAAGCAAAACACAGAAAGGAAAATTGGTGTGGTATCACGAAGCAGGTACGTCATCAGGCGTCCCCTGATGATATCCTAGAATCATGTGAGGAGCTTCGTTGGATGGAGCCTCACATGTCCTCTCCATCCCAGAAACGGAGTGGGGCACACACACAAACACGCGCGCGCACTGGCGGATCCATGCCAATCCCATGTCTTTTGGGGGAACCCCATGAGAACTTTGCTCCCTTGTTGTTCATTGGTCGGGTTCTTGGAGACAATTAGTTGCAGGTGTCATTAGAATTCTAGATGCAGTGGGCTGGAGCAGCGCAGGTTGATGTATGCTGTTGGCCTCTGTTGCCAACGCTCTATTTGGAAAGTCATGAAGTCATGTATTTTGTGGTGATTTGAATAACGAATGCCTGCATATGTGGTCAAAGGTAAACAGGTGGGCTTTATGTTTATCGAGCTTCCACATGAAACGAAAAGAATACGATGCGCTGTTTCGCTGCCAGAAAAATGCCTCTCCGAGTCTTGTTTGACTCGGCTGCCACACTTCTTTGGGAACCCGGCTAGTTCATTCGTTTTCCTTCGGCGATTGAACTGGACCGAGACAATACCGCTTGATGAAGTTCTGATTGGAAATGCCTCAGCTTGTTTTTGGTCTAGCCACCAGGTGTCCATCATGCCACGAGAAGCATGTTCTACGCCACTTGTTCCTTTTGAGAGTGGCAGGCTGAGAGTGCACTTTTTTGCTACTTTTAAGAATTCCATTAAGTCATTTGACATGTATAGTTTTGTGGCTTATCAGCATCTATATAGTGTGCAGTTGCCTTTGAGTCTGGCCTTCTTGTGATGGCAGGGCTAGAAGGTGAGAGTTTGGCAAGACAATTGGGTGTGAGAAGGGTACCTTTACTGCAAAAGCTAAAATTTTCTTTAGACTAAGGTATAGTAAAACTTTGGCATAACCACTATAGGGTCAAATCTCATATTTCTTAGAAAAATATGATGTTTTGATTGTGAACAGTTGATTCTTGAATTAATTCCAGAGAGCAGGTGTTGCTGTGGGTGTGAGTTTAAGACACAATGATATAAAATCATGTGTTTTACAGTGTTTTATTGCCCTGGGAGTGCTGGGAACTAGGTCAAAAAATTGCCTTTTAGGTAGACAGATAGACTTGTTCAAGTAATATTTGGAATAACTTTTCAAGCTGCTAATTCAAGAGTTTTCCTCTTCATCTCTGGAATTTTCTGGATTTTTTACATTAAATAACTATATTTGAAAGCCTTTTTGTTCAAACGTTTTACTTTAAATCTCTGAGAATATTAGTTTTCCATATTTAAAAACATGTATACAAGCAATTTTGTTTAAAGCTTACCTTTTCATTTCTGAAAATAATCATTTCTATATTTAAAACTCCCTCTACATTGTAAGTGTTTTTCCAAAAGCTGTTCCCTAGATTTCTGGGATTGATCACGTCTATATTCAAGGCTAATATCCAAGGGTGCATTTCAAAAGCTGTCCACCAGATCTTTGGGCATGATGATTTGTTTAACGATTATATATATATATAGAAGCTGTGTATTTCACAAGAAAGGATCAATGTGAATAAATATGTCTATGTTTCAATAACTTTCCGAAACATATATAAAAATGTTTTGCAAAAACTTACCTCCAGATCTCTGGGATTGATCACTTCTATATTGAAAAGCTTTGTTTGAAAGCTTTTATTTTTATAGTTTTCCTCTGGACCTCTGGGAAAGTAGATTTTCTAGAGGTGTGTGTGTTCCTTAATTTTATGCAATATAACTATATATATTTTTGTTTATTTATTTATCTGCCACTTGAAAAGCAACCCTTTTATGGAACACATAAATACAGACCCCATGGGACAACACTATAAGTAATTTTTCCTTGTCAGAGGTTCCTCACTGGAATGCATTTCTGAATATTTATATTTAGATATTTTTGCTCTTTGTGCCCAGTATGTTCGTAGTTGCAGCGTTTAGCAATTTTTATGTTTTTTTGCTGCCTACTTCCATCTATGTGCTATAAACTTCCCACTGTGGCCTGTATTCATGCTATGTGTCTGTGAAAGCTGCTTCAATGTCCTTTGCACTGGAAAACAAACACAAACAGTCTCGAGAAAATATAGAGAAAACCAATAACAACCTAGGAAAAGCCCATAAACCTTGGGAAAACCAAAAAACAAAAAAACAAAAGAACCAAAAACAACAATTCTCAGAGACTCTTGGCTGGACCCCCCTTTCCTCAAGACTTCACCAGAATTGTGTTTTTTGTTTTTTTTTTGGGGGGGGGTTCTTTTGTTTGTTGTTTTGATGTTTTTGGCATCCCCTAGATCCAAATATTGCCTTGCCTTGCCTGCTGCCACAAAGAATATTCAGAAAATCTTGGCTGGGAACCCACCCCCTCCAGAGAGTCTGAAAATATAGATTTTTCTTGGTTTTTTCAATGCTTTTGGCACCACTCTAGATCCAAATATTGCTTTGCCTTGCCTGCTGCCACCCTGGGAGTGCAGTTTCTGTGTCGAAATCTAGGCCTAAGAACAAATGAAAAATAGCAAAAAACTGCGCTCTCAGGGCCTGCCGTTCTGTTCCTTTTTGCCTCAAACGGGTCACAGGGACCCCTTCGGCCAAGACTCCTTTTGGGAGTACCCCTACGGACGCTTCGACCTCGCGCCATAGGGTGCGAGCGGCTGAACCCCTTGGAGGGGTTGCTGAAGGAAGAGAACAGAGAAGCTTGCACCTTTAGCTTCTTGAAGCGCTGCTAGTCACTCACTGTGACTGGTAGCGGAGCTTGCAGAGCCCGCTGGTGAGAAGTCTTTGAGCCGGAGCCAGCGGCGCGGAATTCGACCAGGGCAAGTGGTGGCTGGTGCGCTTCGACTGCACCTTGGTCCTGGGCTTCGCTCTCCCTCGACTTTGACATCTCGCTGCTTGGAGCGGCCGCTGCTGGGCACTACGTCTTGGCCTTTGACCTGACGGACCTGGCGCGTGGGAGACGCAGAACCAGGACACAGACCTCACGAGGTCATGACTTCGGAGAGACAAGATCTCCGGGTCCCGACTTTCCGGACTACGTTCGCAAGGTCCGGTTGGCCTGTGAGAGGACGAGGGCACGGCGCCGGAAGTACCTTGGACCAGAGTTGGTCGCTGGTCTGACAGGAAGAGCTTGGACGATCACCCACTACATCTCACACCGCGACCTGGTGAGCAACGATGGAGCGCTCTTCCTGATCCGCTACCTGGAGGAGCACCTTGGACGGGTGCCAGTTCCGGACGCCGGGACGAAAGCCGAGCAGCTGTTCGTCTGCCTTCGCAGGCCTTTGAACATGTCCATGGCCACATGGTGCTCAACCGTGCGGGAGCACTACCGTGGTTTGCAACGGGCTTTGAAACGAGCCCGAAAGGAGCAAGATGACAACCGCACTGGCTCAGAGAGAATGTCTCCGGTGGGAACTTCACCCTCGAGGATTCCACCGCCACGGACGCCGACACCGACGCCAAGCTCTCCACCCTCACGAGATGGACGAGCACGAGGAGTGACTGGGCCGAGTGAACCTCCCTATCCTCTTCAGCCCGTCGCCGGGCCAGCAAGAGGTCAGTGCCTGAGCCTGATCCACCCAGCTCAGCGCCAGATGAACATGAAGGTGAGTTTGAAGAGGTTGAGGAGCCGCCTGATCCGGTGACCCCTGACGGTCTACCATCTCGAGAGATGAGACACCACCTCGTCGCCGGTGTGGACGAACTTCTCGCTCGGACTCCAACACTGAGGATGAGGAGGTGCTCAGAGGCTTTGAGCGTTGTTGGGAAGAACTGGATTCAGGTCTACCGGAAGTCCTGCCGACAGAGCTGGTTGGCTGGCTGATGCTTCGTCGTTCAGGCCTGAGCTCACAACAACGCCTGAACGTGCTCTCCTCCATTGTGAACTCACTTCGTGCTGAAGATGTTGAACGTGGTCTTCGTGGCGCTGAGGATGAACTACGTGTTCATGAACGTGAACAAGTTCCCAAGGGGCATGGCAAGAAGGGCACTCACCGCCCTGTGTTTTGGATGGAGCACCAAGGCGAATGGTCACTCCTGACCGCGGCGGAGGAAGACATGGAAGACTGGGTGCAAGACGCCCATTGGATTGGTGACACCAGTGCCTTGTCCATGAACTATGGAGTGTTTGGTATGTATACCCCACCTTCAACGAGCCAGGGAGAAGGCACGTGGTATCAAGATGGCCAAGGCAGCTATATACCTGGTGGGACTATGATGAGGAGACTGAGGAGTTCTATCACCAGGATGCTGCTGGCACCTATTGGGCCCTCACGGATTGGGATGCACAGCAACAGCAATCCTATCTCACTAGGAGCAGCAGAAAGAGCTTGACCAGGCCTATGCCGCCTATGAGGGGAAATTTAGGAGCTTCACTGAAAGCCGCAACATGATGCACCAGAAGCAGTTGGGAAGAGGTTTCTTTCCAAGAAGTTCGACACCTTTTCAACGGCAGCGGCGCCTGCGTGAGTTGGACGACAGACCACTCCATGTCAAGAAGAAGGAGCTAGAGTCCGCCGCTATGTGGTGCCAGAATGTCTCCCACGACTTCCTCTACGGCGTGGAGATTGAGATGCCAGAGGACGAGGCCGCCTGGAGAAGGATCCGAAAAGGTCCAGCACGCTTCGTGGCGAAAAGCATGCAGAAGGGAGCAGAAGTCAGTTGGGCCCGCCTTGACCCAAAGCAGCGGGCAGCTATGCAGGAGGCCACTTCAAGGGCGTGATCCCTCAGGGAAGGGTCATGAAGATGAGATGGGTCTTGACCCTCAAGGCCACTGACAATCCAAAGGTGGCAAAGAGCAAAGCCCGCATCGTTTTGTTGGGCTTCACCGACCCTGACCTCACCACCTTAGCCACCTCAGCACCAACACTCACACGGCGCTCCCGTCAGTTGACGCTGAACCTCGCGGCAGCAAAGCATTGGACCCTCACCAAGGCAGACGCCAAATCGGCATTCCTACACAGAACTATGAACCAGGCCAACCGCAGCATCTATGCCATCCCTGTACTAGAGTTGGGTGTGGCGCCCGGAGAATGTGTCCAGATCCTGAAGCCTGCCTACGGATTGGTTTCAGCTCCCCGTGAATGGTTCCTGGAAGTCAACAGGGTGGCTACTGAGGTTTGCAAGCTTCGCCAGCTGAAGAGCGACCCCTGTGTTTGGGTTTTGGATGACCCTCAGCCTGGCAATGAACCTCGCGGCATCATTGCCGCACACGTGGACGACTTCCTCATTGCCGGCGACAACCTGTCACCAGAATGGCGCATGGTCATGGAAAAGTTCAAGAAGGCCTTTCGCTGGTCTCCATGGGAAAGCACTCCTTTCCTACACTGCGGAGTGACCATCAACCAACTGGAAGATCACTTCTTCGTCCTGTCCCACGATGAGTACTGCGCGGAGATAAAGCACTCGCAGTGCCGCGCAGTTTTGGGAGCAGTGCAATGGCGTGTGCTGCAGTCGGCGCCGCAGCATGCAGCCAAGCTCTCATGGCTCCAGAGCACAACAAAGACTGGTTGAACCAGGTCAACAAGCTGTGCACAGAGGTGGATGCCCAAAGGCACCTTTCGGTCCACATTAAAAGCAGCTCAACGTGGACCACTTGGAGGACATCGCCTTCGCGACCTGGACGGACGCAGCTGTCGGGAACAGACCTGACATGTCCTCTACTGGCCGAAAGGGGCTGGTGAACCCTCTTTCGTGGAGGTCTGGAAAGCTTCCCACGGGTGGCTCGCTCAAGCCTGGCAGCGGAAGTCCAGGCGCTCTCAGAGGGAGAGCAAGAGCAGATGCTCTGCCGCTTCCAATGGGCCGAAATGCTGAACAAGGAGGTGAATCCTCGAGAGCCTCACCTGGCTCTAGCGGCGCAGCGAGCGGCGATGGGGGTGGACGCCAAGACTGTCTTCAATGCTGTCCAAAAGGGTGAGACAGCGAGTTCCGCCTACAGCATGAAGGAGAAGTACGCGGCCTTGGAGTTGATGAGCGTGGCCGAGAACCTACGCCTCCAGGGCACAAAGCTCCTTTGTGTATCTTCCGATGCCCAGCTGTCAGACGAGTTGACGAAGAGCTCAGCCCAGGACATGTTGAAGGCCTTCCTACAGCAAGGCCAATGGTGGAGGATCATTTTCGATCCCATGTTCACGGCCTCGAAGAAGAAGCCGAAAGCTGAGAGGATGCAATCAGTGCCTGAGAAGACCCCGAGCTCTACCTCACCTGAGTGGGCACTGAGCATGCTGGACCTGATCCGGCACGATCGGACACCTTTTGGCCTTTTGGGTGTCTGATTGAAAATGCCTCAGCTTGTTTTTGGTCTAGCCACCAGGTGTCCATCATGCCACGAGAAGCATGTTCGACGCCACTTGTTCCTTTTTGCCTCAAACGGGTCACAGGACCCCTTCGGCCAAGACTCCTTTTGGGAGTACCCCTACGGACGCTTCGACCTCGCGCCATAGGGTGCGAGCCTCTGAACCCCTTGGAGGGGTTGCTGAAGGAAGAGAAAAGAGAAGCTTGCGCCTTTAGCTTCTTGAAGCGCTGCCAGTCACTCACTGTGAGAAGTACACACTTCCAGCACCACCCAAAGGATGGTTTCTAGAACCCCCTGAAGAGGTATTTTTCATCCAATAACCACCCCTTGGGTGGCGCTGGTTGTCTCAGACAATATCCTTGAAGGATTAGCTGCACGAGCATGTGTGGTTGATTCTTGCTGTTGTCAAATCAAGGTGCCTGGGGCTATCTTACGCAACCACAATGGCAGCCGGATGCAGTCAGTTTGAGTGTCCTCATTGTTTCCAATTTCGGAGCGGAAAAACCCTTTAAGCACCATTTCATGCCATTTCCACCACAACTGCCCGTGGCACTTTTTAAAGAATCCACACCGATTCTGCGTGCGATCTGCGCGAAATCTGCGCCACTTGCTTCGTCGGCTGCCAGATTTCACTGACCTTCCAAATTCACCTGATGCTGCTTTGCATCTTCTATGGCGAAGGGTCTCTTTGGCCAGCAGCGCCGCAGCTTCCTTGCGGTTTCGGAGGGGTATTTGCGGTAGTGAATCGAATCCGCTGAAGAGCGGACGGCAGTGAATCGGTGTCTATGGATCCCAAGTTGCCTCGACCGTCGAGTCGCTCGAAGTCCAGTTTCCTCCAATATGGGGCACCACCACTTCAGGGTCGACCCGGAGAAAAACCTCGGGTCACTCAGGTCAGACGGTGTTTCGCTCGTTGGGTCACTCGGGTCAGACGGCTCGAGTAGGCCACCACATCTCTGTACCGGCCCCGGCGCCCCCCGGTAACGGTAGGCTATTCCTCCAGACTGTGGACCGGTCTTCCAAAGGCCCCGAAAAGACCGCTCGTCTTGCGAGTGGGTGGCTTGGTAGATTACAAAGTGTGGTGGGTGCTGTGTTCTGGTGGAAGATACAGAGAGATATAGCGATACACTCAAATATATCGAATAAAACGAACAACTGAATGTCCATCTTCCGTGTCTCTTTGACCCTTGACCCCCTCGGGTTTCTCTGAAAGTGCATGCTGCAGGGCCACGGCCTGTTTGCATGTTTCTCGAGGCGAGGGCTTTGGAGCGGCATGGATCTGGAGGTCTTTGAGGCGACGACGTAATCAAGGGCAGCGGTTTCGCGAAGTTACGTTGCAGAGAGATGCCATCGGTATGGTACCAAAGCATCCAAGAAGAAACTCTTCTGATCTCTTCAGCACATGGCTGGACAACAGGGGGGACTCACGGGGGCTCACGGAGAGGCTGTGGGGCATTGTTTTTCATGTCTTTTGCGACGGCTGAAACCCCCATACAAAGGCCGGTTTCGGGGAGAGACCCACCATGGTATGGATGAGGTTCAAGCGTCATTGAATCTTTTGGAAGCACAGGTGTTTGGGGAAGCACAGGCGATGGCTTCTGTTGATTTTGATGTGAAGTACTCTCAAAATATTGTAAAGGCAGCTCCATTTGAATGTCCCGTTGATATTGTTGTGAAAGCCTATATTGTTTGTAACATGTATCGTACTATACTTCTTGAATTGTGGCCGTGCTTGTGAGCTTGAACGATAACATGAACGACAACCGAACTATAGCCCAGAATTGCATGGGATGCCCCTCCCCAGTTAAAGGCCCCAAGACTTGTCCAGGAGCTTTCTTGCAAGTGGCATTCTAAGGAACAACTTGCAAACACTGTAAAATGATTTGTGTTTTTGATTGGGTGTGTTGTGTCCTTGTATTGGTGGAAAGCCTAGGTGGAACACCCGCCCCCTGTAAAATGATAGGGGACTCACTAAATCGCTAGATGAGCAGGCCATGTCCATAATTTTGACCGTGGCTCATGTGCTCGTTTTTTGGATGTCTCCAATTTGACTTGACAGAAACAAACTCCATCTTTGGAGTGTATCCTCCCCGATCTGTTGAAATTAAGAAACTATTGGATCTATATATATATATAATGCCTGCCAGGTGGGTGGTGGCTACGGGTCATTGGTGTGGATGGCTTCCAAAGTGATCTCGTCTTGGAGCGTGTTTTTGGAGCACCAGCCCGGGGGGGTATTAAAAAAGTGTAGAGGCGATTGGGGATGGGATCACTTCGTTGAAACCACACTGCAACAGTGGATGTATTCTGAGAAGATGCTATTCTATCTACCAAGCGGGGTTGTCCAAGAATCCATGATTCAGAGTTTTCGGAACTGCTTGGGGTTTGGAACGAGTCATCCATCAAAGTTCCTATTTTGAAGGCGATCTCTTCAGACACGGTCATCCATCCACAGGGTGTCCATGTCAACACCGTCTATTTTGTCACCAAGTGATAAACAGACACCAATGCTCGGTCGAATATGGAGCATATATCATATATCATATACCTGGATTAAAACAGGTGTTTCCTAGTCAACAGGTGCCTTGGTCACCACATGTGCTTGGATTCCGCACCTCCTGCCGCTGGTGTGGTCAAACACCGGATAAAGCTGGCTTCGTGTTCAACGAACGTCTCTCAGGCGAAGCTCTTTGGTTTTTCAGAGTTGGGCTTTAAAAGCTGGAGCGTCTTTGATTTGGAGCATGTGAGCGCCTTACAGGCCGAACACCGCACGGTCTTTTATGGCTGTTCTCGTTGGCCCGAACTTGAGGCGATGGTTTTGACAGTTTTCTGTGGGTACGGCTTTGAACAGGTTTTGATGATTGTCAAATTTTTGTTGAGAACGGCAGACTGAGGCTGCTAGTAAGAACTTAAAGATGTGCTGCAGGCGTGGTACTTGCAAGAAACGCTGCCCAAGAACATCCACTTGGAGCGTTGCTTGGTGTTCACTGAAACAGCACATCGTCTGACTGTTCAGCTCTTACTTGGTGTACAGTACCAGAACCCTACAGTTTATCTCCAGGGCTCTTCTAGAGAAATGCTTTCTGCAACACAGTTCTAGGAGTGGCGTTACGACAATCACCACTTCAACCATAGCTCTCAGACAGAAACCACTCCTTTTAATTTCGAAAGAAACCAAATTCTGATTAGGTTGGAGTTGGAGGCCATCACTAGTGGGTTGGAGGCCATCGCTCCTATAGGTTGGAGGCCCCACATGTCCGGCCTAGGCTTTTGTGCTCGTGGGATTGCTGTCCCACGTGGCTACTTGTCAAGTTACTTGTCAAGTGCCTTGGTGGAACTGGATCATCGGGACGAATCGCTCCACGCGAGATGGAATGGGATTTGGTCAGAGAGCCACCGACATCTCTTTTTCCTCATCCAAACCAGAGATTTGGTCAGCTGGGATCTGTTTTGCATTGAATGACTCCCATCCAAACTCTCTCAGTCGTCGCACGTGAAGCGGCCGGTGCATTGCCTTGCACGCCAAACATGGTCTCGTCGTCCGGCCGAGTCCGAGTGAAGGCGGGGGCATCCCCAAGGAGCAGTCCTGCTCTGCGCTGCACCAAGGAGCAGGTGAGCAGGTGCCTCGCTTCTTTCGCATGGACGAATGCCATCCAACAGAGGTTGAATGACCCGAACTAGACTATCCCATAGGTACCCCAGTAGGGTCCTATAAGGTCACTTAACCTCTCTTGGATAATGCCATGCATTGGTTGACCCGGATGTTCCAAGGTCCTCCCAGCCACGCTCCTGAGCAGCTGGGCTGCACAGGAGGTGTTGGAATGAGGCTCTTCCAAGACCGTGAGCTGGTCGTGCTGCACAGGGCGACCATGCAGCGGGAGTGAGGCACCCAAATCTGATGTAAGAAAACAACAGACACAGCAACTCATCGGTTGGGGGCTCCCTCCCGTTTTGGTTTGGTACGGTATGTCGGTATGTCTTTCCACCTAGAGTCATCCAAAGTTGCTCTGGACGCAGATCCTGGGTTGCTTGGCGCAGGGAAAATCCATGCAACTGCAGTGGTGGTGCAGGGCCCTTCCTTGACTCCTTCCTTGATTCCATAATTTGTAATACCATGTACAGTAAATATAATTCCTTTACTTCATTCTGAAAGTAGCAGCACACACACACGTATATATATATATATAATATCATATAATATACACCAATCGCCTGTAACCCCCCATGAATCAAGCGCCTGGACACATCCAACATGCAGAAGAAACTGCCACGGCGGGACAGACCGGTGAGGATGTGGAAACTGCCACGTCCCGTCGCGCCGGTGGTGCGGCTCGTGCAGACTAAGCTCAAGGCGGATCAAGACGAGACGAGGGACGACACGGGAAGGGAGGGGACGTGGGACACAGTTGGACTTGGAGTGTGACCCGTTTATTTTTTTTAAACTGTAATTCAACAGAAACACCCTGGCACAAAAGAAGTAAGATTTTGTTGCTTTTTTTTTGAGGAAACGACATGAACGGACACATTGGCCACTCGAAGCTGTCATGCTGAGTCATGCGGACGCGTTTGCATATCCTGAAAAACCAGACTTCAAGTGATCTGACTTGGGAATTCGCTTGGGTTGTGGCGGCGGCGTACAAATCGAACATCATAGGAAACAGCTAGTCGGTATTATAGCCGGTTTTGACCCTGCATGTCGTATCATGTGGTGGAGATCAGAGGGGTTGCATGCATTGAAGCTGTTGAAAGTCGATGGAGCTGTGGTTCATGGCACCGGCACCCTGGTTGGTCACCGAAAATGAACTGAATAGACTACTAGACATGATCAACTCGGCCCAGGCAGGTGTTTGTTCAGCGCCATGAAGAGCTGTTTTGACTAGCATCTTTCTTCCTAGTAGCTTCTTGTTCCGTTCGTAGTATGGCCAGGAGCCCCTAGTAGCGTCCTTGCTCCTAGTAGCGATGCCAGGAGCCCCTAGTAGCTTCTTGTTCCTGTTGAGAGCTGGCTCTTCACGGTTCTCAGGACCTTTGGCTCTACAGCTACCGCACGAGTGTGTCGGTGCCCAGTTCTGTGCGTGTGATGATCGCCAGCTTTAGCTGGACTGAGTGCGAGATGGAGGAGTTCTTGTGGTGGCTGAGATGCGTGGAACACACTGGTGAGGGGAGGGTGCAAGCTTTTTTATGCTTTTGGCCTAACCAGTGGGCGGGCATTTCATTCGGATGAGCTTTTGCTTCATTTTGGTGGCCTTCCCTGTTCATGTTTGTTCATTTTCGGTCATCCCTCCGCTGTGACTTCAACCAGGATGGTCCAGGATGGTGACTTCACTTTTGCTGACCCCACCAGTTCTGGCGTGCGCCACACTCATGCAGCTCTAGAGGAGTAGGAAGGGCAAAAACGCCTCCACGGGACGGAGGAGACCCCCACGGGACGGAGTGCTTTTGCTTTCGCTCAACTTCTCAGAGGGGTGTTGTGACCAAGTATCTTTGACCAATCCTCAGATGAGGTATTTCAACCACATCCTGCCCCTCTGCGACTATTTGCTTCTGGGCTATTCCACGAACTGGCCGCAATTTGCGTTGAAATACTCCTTGATTCTGCAGCATATGACTCCCATGGAGGAATATGCCATCACAGACGTCGAGTTCATCAGATTGATGAAAACAACAAATCCACAGTCTATAAGAAAAAAATATATATATAACTATATGATATAACATAACATATATATAATTATATATTATATATTTTTACGTTTTGTACTAGTTATGGTTAGTACTATTAATTACACATATCAATTCGCTCTTCTTTACTACATGATACAGTATGTGCTCGAATGATATATACTTATAACAATATATATATATACGCCCTTGGAGCAAACCCCGCCACTTTTGGCTTGATTTGGAATATATATAGAAACAGCTTTTTTGGGACCATGCGACCATGATGTTTGGAACTCCTTCGGCGTCAAAACTGGCCGACTTGATCCCAGAATCATACCGTACTTGGGTGATCCATCACCTTGTTTCGTTTTCGGAGGAAGAAATGCCATGTTGTTGTGCTTCCGAAGATTAAGATGATTAAGCGAGTTGAACACTCGGGGTTCCACTAAGACCAATTGGAGGAATGGTGGATTCTTTGGGGGGTGGACAGATAGACTCCTACTTTCATGAAAAGATGAGCTACATTGAGATAAACCCAAGTAGAGTACCCCAACTCACGTAAACCTCGGTAGACGTTCGATGTATTCACGTGCTTTCGCGTCAAGTTGCTGAGAGTCGATAGCATAGTTCCTGTAAGGGCTGACATGAGCCAAGCTAGGTGACATATGGTGAAATTCTGGCAAAAGAGGGTAACCTTGTGCTCTAATGGAGATCTGACATAGAAATTGCCAGTTTGGCAGTGTGTGAACATCCAAAGACCTAAGTCACCTAAGCCTTAAATTACTAGTAACTATACACTAATATACAAGTCTCTACCAACTACAACACAAAGATACTTCCATACAGTCCATACGCACACGCTGGAACTGCTTGCACCAACTGCTGCCATGGCACCTGGCGATGATGCGCTTTCGCGGCGGAGTCATCGGGGCTGCTCTCCCATGGTTGAGTTTCGGCGTCGCTGGGCAGTCGGAGGAGATCGGAGGGTTCCGTGGATGCGGATCTCCCGCTTGTTGGAAGGAGAGTACTGGTCGGGGAATGGATGAGAATGGTGCGGTGGTGGTAGATGTTCTCCTCAAGACTTGAGGAGAAGTGTTCGAGCCAGTTTGGTGAGATTCCATCCCGTTTCATGAGTGTGTAAATCAGCGGGATCCTCCAAACATGTCAAAACATACACAACGTCACATGGCTTGCCAGCTCGAGCTGGCATGGTCGATTCATGGTGCCATCCAGGTGTGAAAAAAAACACCACCACATCAGTCGGGTTGACCTTTCGTGGGATGAACCGATGAACCGCTTTGGGCTGGCGCGGCTTCCGTGGCGAATGGATTCGGGTCGATCTTCTGCACTGCCTGGATGACCGCCTGGATGGTCCGTACCGATGTCTGCACACCATGGATGGTTTGCTTGCCCTCCAATGAGTGTGCACTCTATGATCACTATTGCTCATATTTCCGTGTAGGTTTGCAAATGGCATGCACAGTGTCTTTTGACATTTGAAGGGTGAAAGATCTTACAAGACTCTGACATGTGTCGCATGTGTCGCACAAAGCAAGGATTGACATGTGATGCTACTGCTGTTCCCACTCTCGGGATTCTGGGAAGAAACTCCCCAAGACAATTTTGATGTGATGCACTGCACCCTGGATTCATCCTGTTCATTTGAAGAAAGAATCAGTGGTCCAGTGGTTTCGGAAGTGAGGTGTGGCACAGATATTTGTGGCACCTACACTCAGACCACTTCTCTCTCGCTCTATTACAGTATATAGGTGGGAGGCCATTGCTGGGTTGGAGGCCATTGCCATTTCTCTCTCTCTCTCTCTCTAGTGAGGCCACGAGCTCGGTGGATCACGAGCTCCACGAGGCGGTGCAGGTTCGGCGCTGGGCGATGTCGCGCCCGGTACGCCGCGCGCCCGGTCGAACTGTGTCCGTATGGGAAGTGTGACGTGGATGAAGAACCCCATTGAAGTCAGAATTCCAAAGTAGACACACTTCAAACGTTCCTGGACCACATTTGCAAGCTCACTTCCAAATGAATTTGCAACTCTAAGGCCCTAGCAAAATGAATAGAACTCCAAGGCCCTAAGCAAATCATCAGGTGACCTTCCATCCCTCACCGCTCGACCGCGAGGAGGTGGCCCAGCGCGTGGGCTCCAGCACGGACTGTGTGTTGGCAGCGCCCTGGGGCGACAGCTTGGTGCAGTGCTGTGCCTTGACAGAGCCTGGACGCGACAAGTCCGGAGCGTTCGGACGCGACGAAGACGAGGTGCCTTGACGAGAGGTTTTCAGAGCCCTGTTTCGCCCATCCCATATGTACCGCAGACCAGGGTCCTAGTTTCGCAACCTCTTCTGGTGTGGATTGGAACAATCACCCCAGACACGAAACTATAGCACTCTGTGGGACACTGTGGGATTGGCAGGACTGGCAACACACTGATCCCTTTTCATGCACCCCAAGGATATGTATAGGTTCCAGAACTCATGCTGAATTCATGCATAACCCATCTTCGCATCCTTTTATATACATTACATGGCGGTGATGGGCCAAAAGGGCACTGGCAGTTGGTTGTGGATCTTGCGTCGTGTTTTTCTCATCAGCTTCTCATCTCCAGCACCCACCGCTGGGCGCCCAGGTGCAGTGGCCGGGTATCCGGAGGCCACGGGAACCGGTTGTTGGCCCGAGGAACAGAACAGGACCGACCGCAGCTTGGAGCCTGGGATGGGATGTGGAGGAAAGCTTTTGGGAGAGAGACCCATCGTCTACCCCTTGGGCCAGGGGGGTCTCCCGGTCTCCCTATCAAACCATCTACACATCCATTTGGATGATGCTTGAACAAGGTGCTACTGTAGTTGGGTAGTTGTGAATGGAATGATGAATATGTTTCAAGGCAACCAGAGCAGATATGCAGGTTTCCTAATTATGGGGTGTTCGATATAGTCCCATTTGAGTATGTATGGGCCACAAGTAGGGTGTGTTTGAGGGTAGAGCTGCTTGAAACATAGGATAGGCCCAATCGCGGGGGCTCATTTTTTGCAACAAAATACATATCCTTGCAGTAGAAGAGGCAAATGCAGCCGCATAGTGTGGTCAAAGCAGCCCTTGAAAGGGAACACATTAGTTCTCTATTGGGGGCCACAATAAACTCTTAACCATGCCTCATGTTTGGAAATTGGACTCCCCTTAATTGATCTTCTTAGGAGGGCCGTTGGAGAGTCGAGTGTCACCCTTGAATTTACTGTAAGCCTGTAAGTTTACAACCTTCATCCCAGCAGCCAAGTTCTCCTTTCACTTGGTGCTTTGCCAAGTGGCTGTACACAGATGTACATCCAAGCAGCTGGGTTTTGTTTGTGATAGACCCCTCCATATTGTCTTAGACGGACGGGAAGCCGCTCTTAGAGGCGACCTGCCGAGAGAACTTATGATCGAGGAGTTGCAAATCGTCCATATCCTTTGTTTGGTGTTTGGGTCAAACTGAGCATTAATTAGTCTATAGACGTTATGGCTGGACCATCACGATCACTGGTTCTTTTTGGGCGGTTTGAAACAAGTTATGTGGCTACAGCTGGCCAGGGCCAGGGCCATCAAGCGACCCTCTCAAACCGAACTGGAACGCTGTCTCCAGCCCACCCACTATTTCGACGTCCCGAATTGAAATAACAAAGCTCGAAGCCGTCGCAAGACACAAATCCCTCACCCGACGGCTTGGTTTTGAATAGGGTTAGCGTTAGAGCTCCTTGCCAATTTCAAGTCGGGAGTTCACAGAATGAACTTGGGAGCTTCACTGGAGACTCTTGTTATTTCGGAGCACTTGTGTTCACTTTTAGGGCTGGCTTTTCTTAAGGTTTGTGTTGTTGGGAGCGCATGAATGGTCACGCAAACTCTTGACGAAGCGCAGGTGAGGAGATTTCGGTCGGTTTAGTTTCTCCCAAGAATGGAGCCTCGCGACGAGCAATCATTGAAAAGCGGGAGCATCCGACCAACATTCCATCGCCTTCCAGCTCGTCTAACCCCAACAAAAACATGGAAAAGGCCATGAAACAACCGGCTTCCAAGAGCTAGGTCCAGCGTGGACAACAAGCCTGTTGGTTGTCTTAGTCAAGTCCAGGCTTCCAAGAGCTAGGGCTCAGCGCCGCATGACCGGGCGCCTGCTCCGATACAGTATGTAGAGTATGAGTGCATCTGTGTACAGCCACGCAGAGCACAGCACCAAGTGAAAGTAGAACTTGGCTGCTGGGCTCAAGGTTGTAAACTTACATATTTACCGTAAATTCAAGGGTGACACTCGACTCTCCAACGGCCCTCTTAAGAAGATGATATGTTAAGAACCGCTGTGAACAGGGACCGTGCTGTTCACGGGTCCCCGTTTCGACACGTCGAGAAGCCCTTCCAGGTATCAATGCATGCTGCCATGAGCTCATGTCAGCCCCCTGGTAGCACAGCCGTCGACCGAGGGTGTCGCTGTGTCTTTTTTTGGGGGGACCCTTGACATGGCAGCAGTTTGTGCTATCGGCAGTGATGGGCATGCCATCTTCGAAGTAAGATGATCCTCAACAGTGTCACTGAGTGTAAGACGCATTCGGAAAGACTTTGAAGAGGACCAGGATGACAGACCAATCACCGACAAGAGTCAGAGAAGTAGAAGAAAGAGGAACTATGTCGTGAAAGGCTGGAAAGATCAGCAGCTGCTTTCTGATGGTTAGTGGCGACGGTTGATTCGCAAACATCCCCCACCCCTACATGGACGTTCACCCGCCCGCCTGGGCGCAATGCCGCGCTTTGCCAGGCATTGATCTACGGCACGGAGACCTTAAAGCAGGAGTCGTGAAGCGTGGCTTTTCGACCGGTTCTTCGTTCGGAATGACCCCGCAAAGCGTAGAGAATTCCTTGACTGTTTGGGGAGGTGTTTAGGGTCAGATTATTGAAAGTCTCCCAGCTGAAGTTTGCTCATGACCTCAAATCAATGTAAAGCTTCCGGCTATTTTTCTTCGGTTCCTTTCGGTCTTTGATCCACCGAGAAGGTTCCATTTCAGATTTCAGCAGTGCCATTTCAGAATTGTTATTCAGTCCCATCCAGTGAGGGGATGTGACGAGGGCACCCCATTCCGACCCTCCGGATGTTCTCGGCACCACATGGAAGCACTTCCAGAATGGGCGAAGGCGGGCGGGAGTGGACGAATGGGCTGGAAGGAATCGTCCTTCGTTGGTTTTCTCAGGAGCAAAAGTTCCTGACAGCTGCTGCCCTGGGCCTTTGGTTGCTCGGCCACGACCATGGCGGCACCGAGGTGGCCCACAGAAAGATGTTTGATCAAGGCGACCTGGACAAGCTTTCCAAACAATTACAGAATCTATCAAGTGGAATATATCGGCCCTGAAGTAGTGCTCCCCATGTTCGTGTAGATTAGATGATCTGAGGGCTCGAATTTATGGTGTTTCTGGCTCGAATTGATGGACCAAACACCTGTGCAAACAGACAGCTTCAGTTTTTGTTGGGATGGTCCGGTCGTTTGATCAAGATGTTAAGTTATGAGCTGTGCCTTTTTCTTCTGCTGATATTTCATTAATAGAAGAGACTTGCCAACGTAGGTTCGTCATGGGTGCTGGGGTGACATGGATGGTACGTCAGCGTGCTGGAAGCCCTTAATTCCATGCTGTAAAGGGCCCTTTGTTCAGTCAGAACCACGGTCAGAATGCTCGATTTGACGATTTGTCCTTTTAGTGAATGGCCTCCATCAACAAGCAGAACATTGACCCTTGATGTACCCCTAATATACACTTATACAAAGTCTAACAGAAGGGCAATTGTATGCTTCACACTCATGTAACGTGGTGGGCGAGACGGTGGCACTTGTATAATTAACTCATGTACTTTCCGAGAGCCTTTGCCAAATCGCTCTCCAGCCATGGGCAGCCGAAACTCCAGCCATATGGGATGTGTGAGCGGTTGAGGTTGGTTCAGGTCGGTTGACTTGTGGGTGTGGATGTTTTGTCATAGGGGACCCTGCAAAGAGCAGAGGTTGAAGATGCTTCAAGCCCTCCAGCCCCAGTTTCCTCTTCGCATCTCGCAAAACATCAAGCACCAGGTAGGGTGTCCCAGTGGTCGGGGAAGCGGTTTCTCATCTTTGACCAAAGCCTTGGAACACTTGGCCCCCCGAGGCTCAAGAGGACCTTCAAAGCTATCCCGTCGACGCCTTAGAGGGGTGACTGGGATTGCTTCCAATCACGAACAAAGAAATGCACCTACCAATTGGAACATCACAAACCATGAGGAACTTCTAACAATCCGAACCTGAGCTTTGCACCTACGAAGGGCACTGCACCACTGGGAAGACGACCGACCGGCAAGATGACCGGTCAGATGTTCTTTGCCCACTTTATCCAGTTTATGAGCCGATTGGTCGTCCAGACGGGATGACTCCGAATCATGGCACAAAACTATAAGGAACACAAATAAGGAACACAATGTTCCTCAATTGTTCAACCAGAAGGGAGAGCAGGTTTTGATTTATAACAAGAACATGCATGTTCTTTGTTTGATTTATAACAAGAAGGGAACACAGGTGTTTGAAAAGGTGCGATTCTCCAGTCTTAGCTGAGGCCTCAAAAACTTTTGCTGATTGTGCAAAATGCGATGCTCGGTGGCATGTCTGTGAAAGCCAAGGGTTTCATTGCCGTGATCGTTATGTTTTGGTGGCTGAAATAGATGAGAGCTTTCAAATAAACATTTGGGCAATGACATTTGGGTATTGACCCAGAAGTATTTGAGTTTCCTGTCCCTTTCATTATTTTGTTTAATGATCATCACAAAGTATCACAAAGAACGGGTGTTTCGCATTTTCTGGAAACTGACTTGTTGCAGAAAACAAACCAGAACCACGGTTGGGCCATGTGGCTCCTGTTGCATACTGTTGCTTCACTGGGATTAAATGTGATGTAACGAGCCATGCCCCACCCTTTAGCCTCAATCTTTAAGCGAAAGGCCCAAGCCAGGGGGTTCTGGTAAATGTCGCATGTCCAAGCGATACAGGACAACGACCCCGACAAAAGAGCGGAGCGGTTTGGTCCAATTCTTTGGTCACTGAGTTTATTGGGAGTGGAAGCCTGATGGACCCTTCGCTTGGGAAAGTGGATGCAAAGGTCCGTTCTGCTGGCACTCGCTCCTTCTCCGCTCCTTCTCCGTCCTGACCATTTCACCTCATTGGGATGTAAGCATTAAGAAGCTACCCACCTCACACATGGACACGCTTCTGAAGTGACGTTCGTTCCGAACAGGAGGTCCCCTGCTTCCGGGTGTTCTTCCGAGGATGTTGAAGCACAAAGAGGCCATCCATGCGCGCGCCTGGGATGCCTTGGACTGGCGGGCACTGGCACAGCATCAGTTTGGCTTGGAGGCCGCGGAGGTCCATCGATCCGGTCTGATGGATGGTGCAACATGGTTCGGCAAAGAAAACACACTCATTCAGTAGATTCAGATGATATGACTCCCTCTCTCTCTCTCTCTCTCCATTTGTTTCCACATAGTTATCACAGTTCCTTATTCATGTATAGATGATCATTGTGGGGATCCAAATTGCATCCAAACACCTGTCAGACTCCCACCTAACGAAGTCCCATCAGAGGTCTTTCGGGGAGACTCCGACTCTGTCGACGTCTTGTCGGGGCGCAGGAGACGCAGCAGTCGCTGGGAGAGGTGATCGCTCAGCAGGGCAGACGCTCGGCGAGCGCCGGAGTGGGAGGGGTGGGGTAGGTGTGGGCAGGGCAGGAGAGTCCGGTTCTGGTGAGCGAGTTCGGCTGGACTTGAAGTCTCACTCTAGAAACGAGGGTGCAGCCACAGAAGAAAAGTATAGGGGGTGTCCAAAGTCGCATTGGTCGGCTTTTTTGGGTAGGTCAAGGCATTTGGAACACCGCATCAATCAGATCCCTGATGATCCCTGGCTTTTCTGGGACTCAGACTGAGACTTCCTCTGGTTTGAGTCATGTCCACCTGATTCATTTGTCTCTTGGCCAAGGCAAGGACTATGCACTCACAAGCGCATGGGGTAGCGCGCTCTTGGGAAGACCGAGGGATGACACAGACCAGGCGACCAAAATGTTGGGCTCGGTCGCCGGTTTCGGGTGTTCTGTTTTGACCCACCACGTGTCGTGCAAGAGGATTCGTTTTCATAAGGCCTCTTCAAACATGCAGCTTCCAAGCATATTTGCTGTCCAGATTGAACTGACCATAGAGGTGTCCAGAACTCAACGTGTTATTTGAGAACCTTTCTAAACAGGAAGACCATCATGATGGCAGTTGAACATAGGTTTGGGTTAATGTTTCCTTAACAACACGCATGCGGCATGAAAAGCTGCTATGGTCCATGGTGATGATTGCCACTCTGAGATCCAGGCCTCAACAGTCATCCCATGGCCCCATCACCCACTAATTGCAAATTGAACATTGAAGAAAATTGAAATTTTGAATTGTGCAACCAATTGCCAATTGAAACTTGAAAAAATCAATGAACAACAAATAGCAGCAGTGAGCAAGAAGGCCGGGCAAGAGTAGCAGCAAAAAGGAAAACAACTTGGTGCACTTTTGGAGGGTCTGTTTTAAGGAAAATGTGTTTACTGACTGTTACAGCTATTAGCCAAGACCCAACGCATGCCCATGATGAATGCCAATCAAAACCTGACATGTTGATTTTAGTCAACCGTGGTCATGGCTTTTAACTTGCCCGTGGTTATATAATGATCGCAATAAAATACGATACCCCTCTAACGCGCATTGCGTTAAGACTTGGCCAGTGTCACTGTGTTTTGCAGTAATGTGCTGTGTGGAAAGCATGTGCCCAAACTCTGCAAGCCTCGTTACTTGCCATTGGGTTTGACTATTGCCCAGGCCACTTGTCCTAACAAAAAGTTGGTAGCAGAGCTGATAGCGCAAATGCTCCCATTGAGGTACTCTGGGTTGGAACGGCAATCTCGGTTAAACGCCTGCCGAAAACGATACCTCGAAATTTCCATGGAAGAATGAGGTGTGCTTTCCGAATGCTCCCCACACGAAGTGATGTTCCTCCAGCTTTCATGAGATCTACTAGCAGGGTGAGGTGAGGTGCTCAACGCAACTCAGAATTGCCGCTTGGAAACCTCCAGAACTTGATGGGCAATAGTGCAAAGCAACTAAGACGTAGAAAGGCACCAAACCCTCGGAATATGGTCCCAGCGGGGGTATCTGGGAATAAACGGATCCCTCCCAATGACCTCAGCTGACCGAGCCGCTGTACAGTAAGAGGCTTTGACCGTTGCCCACATCCAATTGCAATCCCACTGCAGGCTTGATGCTTGATGCTTGACTCACAGACTCCAAAACACCGACAGTCTGCGAGGAAGCAAGCTGAGGCCTCGCTCGCAGGGCCTCGCCTCGCCGCGTGCCTCGCCTCAGGTGAGGCTCATTTGCAATGTGTCTTCCGAGCGCTTTGACCCGAAGCACTTCGAGTTCTTCGCTGATGAGCCTGCCTATGTGGCTTGGAGGTCATCAACTGAGACCCGAGACCGCACGCACGAGATTTGGATGCTTAGCCCATATACTGTACTCCACGTATGGAATGTATGCCGCCCCGTTGACCCCCCTGGCACCACCCCAAGGCATACATGGCACACCTGGCATACATGGAGCGTTTGAGTACATGTATTTATTCTCCAAAGCGGGTTGCGATCAGTCCCAGATGACCGAGCCACTGGTTCCATCCATGGCTTGACCGAGCCGCTGGAGTGCAGACCTCGACCGGTGACAACGACCTGCCCATTCGGATTCCCATTCACCGGTCGACCGGCGATTCATCTGATGTGCACGTATGACAATGTGCTACCTACCCTCAAACAATCATGGAAGTGGATGGAACATGGCCTGTTCGTAGAGGCAAACCCGTCTTCCTTAAGGGGCCATGTTCCACTTCCATGTTTGTTGAATGGAGGGTATGTGCTTGATGTATTCGGGAGCTAGGAGTTGTTCCCTTCGGGACTTCGGAATGATATATCCCAGACGCTCATAAACCCTCCTAAGTTCCTAAGTAGGGGTCCGGACCCTCAAATCTAGGGTTTTGAGGGACCAGTCGAGCTGTGAACGGAGCGTCTGGGATACAGGTATCCTTTTAGTCCCGAAGTCCTGACTCCTTGACCGTCCAAGTTCTTTTTGGTCGGGCGTTTTCAAAGGCCTTCTTCTCGCCTTCGCCGTTGAACATTGTGGAGGCCTGCCAAAAGTGCGTGCGGTGCGGTAGCGTGCGGTAGCGTGCGGTAGCGGTGCGGGTCGTGTGAGAAAGAAAACACGATCAAGTCAGTCACCTTCCAAGATTCGGCGTCCAATCATGCAATCGGAGGTCCGCCGAGAGCTGGTGAATTCATGGACAGGGCACGGACGAGATTTGGAACATGACCATTTCAAAACCTACCGCAATAATAGCCAATGACTCAAAGAGACCTAGAAAGGCTGTATAGTGGAATTTGTATGAATTTGTGGAATCCAATGGGAAAGGTTGCTTTAACACAGAGAGAACTATGTGGTCCACTACTCATGTCATGTGGATCACTGGTTTGCTCAAGTGTGACTCAGAATAGTGGTCATCGTGCAACTGGTGGAATCAACTGCCTAGAGGATGACTCCGTTGTGAATCCATCCGAATCCCAACAGGTGCTCAATGCAGATGCTTGCTCATGTGACTCATGTTCACAGTCATGTTCAGCCCCCAAACAAGTCTCCTGAACCACGACCGGACACCGCAAGACGACCGAGAAAGGACACCCCAAACGGGTCCGGTTCCCCCGAAAGCCTAAGACCTCCGCCCCTTCTGCCCACCCGCTGGTGCGCCAGGTGTGGGCGGAGACCATGGCCGCTGCCATGTCAAGGCATCCGCGCCTGGCGAAGGCCTTGTGGCAGCTCACCGAGCCTCCGCAGGGTGACTTGGGGCGAAGAAGTGGAGCGGGTCTGGCCTTCAACCGAAAAGAATTGTTCACCTAGTTTTGTAGGCCTAGGCATCATGTTGATATGTTTTTGTGACAGTTGAGAGGTGGAGACCTTCAAGACAGTTGCAGGAATGCGATGAAGCATTCTCAACATTTACTTGTTGCATCATGTTGCCCTTGAAACAGGATGAATCTCCGAATCTAGAGGTGCGAGTAGCTGTCGTACAATTCGGATCGAAGAGTGGATGAGAAACAACGAACCACAGGCCAACATGGTCACCGATCGGAGTGAATCTTCAGTTCAATCCCAGATCCTTGATTTGAAAAGGACCTGGGGGAGGTGGTGCCCCCTATGGGTGTCAAGATTGGGTTACTGTACTTTGGGGACAGCTGCGCCATTGATTTAGGGTCTAACGAGTTTTGTACTCCACGGTCAGTGGAGTCGGTCGGTCTAGTTTCAATTTTCACCCACTTGATCCGGTCTGCACTGCCAACTCTGCAGACCAGACTGTTCCTTTGAATCTGTTTCAACCCTGGGGTTGAAACACCGTCTGAGGTCATGGTTCAGCCTATGTTTGGGATTCCCTTTGAAGATCCGAAAGCCGAGTCGCCCCGCATCGCCCCTAAAGCCCTCCGCGCGGGGCATGGGAAAATCAGCGGACGTCGTCCAGATTCCGACACATTGAGGCAATCCCTTCGCCGAGCTGCTACGGAGCTACGACATGCACCAGGCGAGCTGGTTGGTACTGAGATCAGTGGCAAGCCTGGCTGCCCTCCTCGGTTCCCGGCTGAACCTGAGTCTCCTGTGCCCCGAACCCCCCACAGTGTTGGCCCCATCGTCAAGATTTGGGCAGCTATGAGGGATCAACCAGCTTGGAGGTGTGAAGAGTAGCCTTCTGGCGAGGGGTGAATCATCCCTTTCATGAGATGTCCACGAGCAGGATGTCGCCACCGAGTCTTCCGACCATACAACTCCCACAAATGAACCACAGGCGTTCATGTGCTTTTCATGCAAGAGCTCTATCATCGATCTAGTCTCCGCTTTGACCACGGGGCGATGTGATTAGCTTCTGCCAGGGTGGCAATTGGTATGATCCAATCAGGGTCTTTTTGCAGGTGGCGGCTGGAATTTCTCCGGCGGCTTCGTGCTGAGCCTGTTTTTGCCCAGTCAGAACAAAAGCCTTCGTCCGGTGCGTTGGTTCGAGGTTTCTCTGAACTTCCGGACCGGAGTCATGGCCATGTGCATCTTCTACGGCCTGGGACAGCGCCTGGGACGCCGAGCGGAAGGACGAGACACGAGCGATTCAACCGGACCGCCGATTCGGCAATTGTTTTTTCGCTGATCTGAAACCGCATGTCCTTTGCCAAAAATAGAGTGTTTGGACTTCTAGGGAGGCTAGACACGACGATCGCTCATTTCTGTTCACCCAGGTCTAACATCGGATCTCCCCTTTTGAACTACTTGGCCATCGTCTCTTTGGGGCGATTCTCGATCTTCTCAGTCCTTCCATGCCCCTCGGATCATCGGTCCTCCGACTCTTCACGGTGCCGAGGCGCGGGGCCTGGACCAGTGGACACTCGGACTTGGAGGTCTTCGAGGCGGGCTAGTTCCGGTCAACGGTCCTCGGCTGTGTTCGTTGGATTGGTCTGTATGTTCAGGGTATGTTCAGGGTATGTTCAGGTCAGCGTGAAAGTAATTCAACAGATTCTTGATGATCTTGATAATACCTGGTTGGGTGGATCCAAGGGGAGAAATTGGACTGTGGTTGGTCTTGGATTTGTGGAGGCCGATGTTCGTTGTGGTCAGCAGAGCTTTGGGATGCTTTGGGGGGGGTTCTTCTATGTGAGACCACTCATTACGTGTGCAGGCATGCTTGCCAGTACGGTAGAAAGCAACACGTGCCGGTCAGCAGGTGGGCGGTGGCTATGGGTCCTTGGCATGGATGGCTGCAAAGGTGAGCTTGGGCACTTCAATGTGGAGGGGAGGGAGGCTTTGAGAGGATTGCAGAGTCCAAACCGCTGTTTGAAAGCCCATGAAGGCTAATTTAGGATTGGCTTTGCAAAGGAAGAATCCACAAGTTGCTCCAACAATTGGTCCACAATTGGTACATCCCGTGACTCTTGACTTAATGCTTGAATGGACTTGCAAACATGAGAGTAGTCCTTTGGGATTGAGGAAAGTCATGAGTCAAGCTAACTCTATGTCTTTGAGTCCAAACCTAACTCTATGTTCCGGCCTGGCGTGCCATTCCAACCATTCCAACATCTTCCGGTTCTCATAACCCCGGTATGCTGCAGGCGAGTCTCCACGCTCGCTTCTCGGAGTTGGGCTTCAAGAGCTGGAGCATCTTCGATTTGGAGCACGTGAGCGCCTTGCAGGCGGTCGACGCGAGCCAGGTTCTGGTCGAACACCGGGTGAGGTTCTGTTTTCTCACCACGAACAACAGTGTCGGAGCGGTCTGTGGCTCTGTGGCGTACTCGTCGAGTCTGAGGCGAAGTCAGTGGTCAAATCTGTGAAGTTCATGATGTTATATGCAAGAATGACTGCGACATTCGGACATCCAAGGACTGAACTGTTTGTGTGTTCTGGATTTCGGGGCGGGGTGGTGATGGGGGTGCCACAGAGAGGTCGTTTCTTGCAACTTCCTTGGCTTTGGGGCGATGCTGGGCTTTGCAAACGGGGTCCTGGTCTTGACTCCAGACGATCCATATCCCAAGTGAAGGACTCAACCCAGGTTAGTTCAGCCTTTTCTTTGGTCCAACGCAGGCTTGGTACCTGAGAGAGACGCTGCCCAAGAACATCCACTTGGAGCGTGGCTTGGCTTTATGCCCCCGGCTCCCTCTTGCTCCATTGGGCGCCAAGGGTGTGGCATGAGCTAAGAAACGATTGTTCGACGAGTTGAAGACATCTCATGCCAGCTTGCTTTGAGAATGGAGAGGGGCCAACTGGGCCAATTTGTTAGATGTGGAAGGGCCTTGTCAGTCAGGGCGCTCGGGAGGGGGAGGGCAGGAAGCTTCCGATCTAGGTGAGGAAGCTGAAGGAGGTTGGCAGCGAAGCGAAGTGGCGCGAAGTGGACGGGCGCCCGCTTCTCCCGGAGCCTGAACTTGCTTGGGGATTCCCACATCTACTCTCTTCATTGCAAACCCTCGCAGGTATGCGGATGTATGCTGCGGTCTTTTTCGCATCACGCCGCTGTGGCTGAGTGATGCGAAAACAACTGGAAGATCTCCCAGATGGTGAGAAACGTGAGCAAAACTGGAAGTGAAAACCACGTTTGGAGCATTTCCGAGCGTCCGAACCTCACCTGTTTGTAGGGGGGAAGGGTCGTCCCAGGGTCCATTGTCCATGTCCATGTGAGTGAGTGGGACCTTTGGTCACCCTCAGGCTTTTGTGCCCATGGCATTGCCGCCCAGCGCGGTGGCTACTTCTGGGGTCCCTAGGCAGATCCTCGACCGATTTCCGTGGTCGACCGAGGGGTGCGGGATGGATTTCCGGATCTGCCTTTTTGGGATATATAGAATCTGGGGCCAATCTTGGGCCTGTCCTACATGGAAGAGGAAGGATTTCGGGAAGAGGAAGGATTTCCTGCAAAGACTGCCACAAGCATTTGATTTCAGTCCACCTCCCAGGATCTAGAAGTGTCCAGCAGCCTGATTCACAGACATGGGTTTGGCAATGCTTGGGACTTCAGGGACTTCCTGTCACGCTTGAGCTCCGAGAGGGGTAAGCTAGCTGGACCCACCATTGTCGCTTTGGGAACGGCGGATGCCGGCGGATTGGTCTTTTCTGTCAGAGACTTTCGGGATGTGGCTTTGGGAACATGTGAAACACTTTGTCACCACCGTATTTGTCTTGAGATGCCTTAAGCGCTACTGTGTATACCTATAGTTATATATAATCCGCATAAATATGTTACATGTCACATCACAATCATATCACATGGAACAAACTCAAGAAGGAATGCTACAAGATGCTACCACCCGCTGGTTCAGCTGAACTGGCACCGCCCACCGGGGTCTTTTGAGGTCCTCGGGGTCAAGCGCCTGAGCCGCTTGGCACTATCCGGGCGGGAAAAGAAGGACCTTTTGAGAACATGAAAGCGAATCAACGACCTCTGAAGCGAAAGACCGTATTTGGCAGTATTTGTGAAGAGCAAATGGATTTGGCTGGATTCATCATTTGGGTATCTAGGTTCAGATGGATATTGTAAGCCAGGAGTTTCATAGGAGGTTCACGGTGAGATTAGTATTTGTATACTCAAGAGGATTTGATGAAGGGTAAGAGTTCCTGTGCGGGGCACGGCAAAGGCAAAATTGGAGATAAGGATCGGATACGCCTTAGGGAACATCAGACATCTCAAAAGAACCAGCTTAAGCTTCAAAAGGTTCCAGACATCACGTAGGATTGTATTTTATTTCATCCCCAGGTCCACAACGGCCAGGACGCAGTGGCGACCAGGTTTGTTGAAGCCCATTAGAAGGAATATGACAAAGAGGGGCTACACCACGAGAAAGGGACACAGAACGAACGCATCAGCGGTTGAGGCGGCTGGAAGATGTCATGGTTGTTTCACTTCTAGTTATTGGGCCATTTTGTTTGGGTTAATTGGGCGAACGGGGAGTGCTATGCCAAACTTGCTGGAGTTCAGTTTCGGCCATCCCTTTCTGGGTTTTTAGACTCCACAACCGCGGTCGAACTCACAGGAGCTGGCAGCTACCGTCCCCGGATCGGGTGCCTTTGGTGCGACTGATTGAGACGAAGCTCAAGGAGTCCGAGTGGATGTCGGCCTTTCCTTCGTAAAAAGCGGAGGAACTGTATGAAGGATGGGTAGATGGATGGGTCTTTTCCATGTCTTTTCCATGTGTCTCTTTTACTTCTGGGCCCATGAAATCCATGAAATCCCAGTCTTTTGGTAAAAAAGAACAATAGAGAGAGTTACATGAAGTGGGCACATGTAGGAGTACGGATTGATTGATAGATTGAAGACAGATCGACCCTCGCGAAAGAGGCCGAACATATGTATATCTCAGGTATCGAAGCTAAATGATGGCAAACCAAACCGACAATAGCTCCCTTCTCACAACAATAGTGGACAGGGTGGATTAAATGGACCCCGGATCGCCGGCCACCGTTCTTTCTGAAGGGGTGTCGAACCGGGAGGCCTCGCTGATTCTGATACCCAAAAAGGTGCCTCTGAGGACACCATTGGCAACACAAGGCGCCTTTGTACCTCTGATCGAGAGTAGCCACACATCCAGGAAAACACCTCAATCATCATCAATCTATAGATACAAACTCATGTCACATGTCACATTAGGTGAGAAACACCACTTCTTTGCAACCCGCTCCCACTTTACTGTCTCAGCCATACAGAGCCTAGTCCCGTGGTGGGTGTCGCCAGGACCTTTGGCTCTACAGCTACCGCGCTACGACGATAGAGCCGCCAGCGCATTTGCGGGTGATGGTTGCAATGTTTAGCTGGAGCGAATGCGAGATGGAGGAGTTCTTGTGGCTGCTGAGATGGAGTGAAGACTCTACTTGTTTAATTTTGAGAGATTGGAGGGCTGAGAGGTTGGTGTTGCACATGTTGCATTGTTCCATTTGGAGGCCGCTTCGGTCGGTGGGTGGGGCCTTAGATGATCTCAGACTTGAAGCACGATAGACAGGAGGATCCTAGAGAGGTGGACACATGTTCAATGCCTGGAATAGGTCGATGGGAATAGGTCGAAGCAGACCATGGCCATGCTCTGCAAGTCAAAACATACGTAAGGTCCACGGGTTTGCAGAGGAGAGATGGTCAAAATACACTTGTTAGATACTGTTAGGCAGCACCTTTGGCTTTCAGGTTTGGAGTTTGTGTCTTTATATCCATCCCCAAGCAACCAAAATGCATCAGTCCTTCATTGACCGTCGATGTAGTCACCAAAACATCCAAGGATGTGCGCCCTGTTGTTTGCTCGTTTCAATGAACCAGAGCTTGTAGGGAATCCTGGTGAATCTTCCTGTTCTGATCCCGTCCGTTTCATGGATGTGCCGAACGACATGTTGGATGGAAGGATTGGGATGTGCAATTTCCAACGTGAGGGCAATTCAGAATCAATCAGCTTGTAGGTGGAGTTCTACAATGAACGGGAGCCCAGAAAGGCCGAATCTTGCCCCAGGTGGAAGGGGAAAGCCATGCTTAGGTTTTTAGAGGTCCACATGATCCACTGCCATTTTTGGAGGAATCCATGGAAGAGTGTGAGTGTTGGATAAAAGCAATTGTTTGGCGTTGAATTCAATTTCGTTTGAGAATTTGTCGCGCTGATCCGATGTTTGGACAGCCGAGGTATTTCAACCAGATGCTGCCTCTTTGCGACTTTCTGCTTCTGGGCTACTCTACGATGTGGACGCAATCCACGGTCAAATATTCTTTGATTTTACAACATATGACCCTCCTCGAGGAATATGCCTTAACTGATGTTGATTTCATCAAATTGATGAAATCAAAAAAGAATAGAATAGAAATCGACCAAAATAACGATATAATTATATATTATATAATATAATCATTAAAATTTGTAATATATAGAATATATATAAATTGAATTTATATATATATAGATATATGTAAAATATATTTAAAAATTAATAATATATAAGAAATATATATATTAAATATAGAAAATAAATATATATATTATAATCGATCGAAAAATCGATATATAATTTATATTAATGATAATATTTACGATATTAATATATATTTTTTGAATAATTTTAATATTGTGAATTAGCATAGATATATGGATTACATTTGCCTCAAGGGATAAAGGAATTATATTCATTAATGATGCGATGTTTATGGTTTATGAGCCCAAATCGGTGAAACGACGATTTTGAAACGAATATAATTGGAAACACCTATAGCGAATGAGTAGTTGGACGCTATGTTGGAAGTAGTGAGGGAATAATTTCGAAAAATGTAGAATTTGGAATCGAATCGGACGATGATACCATTTTTGAAAAGAAGCTCGTGTGTTGCGGCGATTAATACGTCGGCGGAGAGGAAACAGGTGGACCAAGGGCTTTGCGTGCGATAGAAGATCTTCGGGCATTGGGGCGACGTGGTTCATCGTAGGTGTTTATGTTTCCGTTGCTAATATTTTTATAGATGCTTATGGTGGGTGGGCTATAACTAGCATTATTTGAACCATCCGGTTTAGGACAAGGTGGAGGGCGAGATGGCGGCAATGGTATGCCTTCTCGATTTTAACCGATATAAGAACAGGCTTGGGGGATACTTGCGGGGGCTGGAATAACCCTAGCCTGGAATGTAGGGAAATGGAGGCTCTGCAGATTAATTGCCGGTGGCACCTCAAGGACGTCGAGAAGAACCGCCTGAAGGAGGTCCATTGGTGAGGGGGCCTGGGGGAGTTGATCCTTAGGAAAAAGGGTGGTGGCCGAGAGCGAGTTCTCGAAGAAACAAAAGGTTCTGTGAAGAGTTTACCACTGCATCCTTGGTCGGCAGAGAAGTTGAGGGAATTTTATGATTTAGCTCGCGTAAACGACCCTCGAGGACAAGAACAGAAGCTTCGTGATGGCGGTGATCAAGTCGAACGTCTTCGTGAATGATGTTTGAAAGAGGCCGAGACGAAATTCTAGGAAGAAGTTCGTAAATTGGGACCACAGAGCTCGAACTCGTCGTTCCAATCGGCTGTTGAAGCTCAAATGTGAAAACCACTGCACTTATAGTCAACGTGGGTCCCAATGGCGTCGGCGTGGGGTCGGTAGCATATCCGTGGCCTTTTCCTCCTGGACTATCCGGACTACCTCCATGGGGAAATGATGTGTGTGGCATTTTTCTGAATGGGAATCCATATGCCAGCCGAGGAATCGCTGGGCGACAACGCTCGGTCGGTGGAATTGCCGGTGCTGGGCTTGGATGCTACGACACTGACGTTTGGTGATTGGTTGACTACCTTGGAACCCATCGTGTCGGAGATTGGCCAAGGTGCTAGTCAATGGTGGCAGCTGACTTTGAAGAGTGTGGAGCAGGCCTATGAAGCCTGGTTGGTTGCAGATCCATTCCAACGGCTACGTCTTGGTCCAGCTAGCCCAGAAGAGGCGAACAAATGGCCTCGCATTGAAAGGAGGATGCTTAGCCTGTTGCTGCAAGCGGTGCCGGACACAGTTCGATCGGAGGTCATCACGGTTCGAAAGATGAATATGGCTCAGGTGTCAACCTGGAGGACAAGGTGAACGGATGAACCTCATCAAGAACTTGACCGAGCTCAAGCTGACCCAGAACATGGGGGACGTCGTGCAGGTCCTTCGAACCTGGCGGCGTTGGCGGAATCGCTCGGAGGAGTTGGGGGCGCTTCTTCCGGATCCGGTGGTCTTTGCGGGGGTGTTAGTGAAGGCTTCGGACCATTTGGCAAAGTCTGGAGCGCAAGTGGCTTATCGATTGGCTACGAGCAGACAGCAGTTGCTGATCGACACAAGGCCTACGTTAAATAATTTCAAGATCTTCGCGGAATTCCTGCAGGCGGAAGCGGAAGAGCTGGCGATGGGAGCTGGCACCGGAGTTGGGCAAGGAAAGGGTCCGTCATTGAAAGCAGTGGCTACCCAACCTACTTCGGGAATTTCTTCTACATCACTGACGAATCCTTCGGTGGGGTAATTACGGGAGAATGTCGCCGGTAACAAAGACACTTGTCGGTTCTGGATGTCCGAGAAAGGGTGTCGGCGTGGCGATCGATGCAAGTTTAAACATAGTAGATTGAATCCCAAGGACAATAGGTGTTTTCATTGCTCTGGCTTGAACCATAGCCGCACAGCCTGCCCGTTCTTGAAGAAGGGAGAAGAGGCGGTTAAGGTGGCGAAGGTCACAGGGGAAGCAACACAAATAGCCCGGAAAAACCGGAGCGTGTTGGAATCTTCGAGGAGGAGGCCACAACGGTTGAGGAAGTGCCTACTGGGTCACAAGATGATGTTGTGAATACGGTTGGGGGCTTGGTGGGTGAGGCGACGGTGCTGTTGAAGTCACTTCATCGGGCGAAACTCATGGCCGTGAAATGTAAGTTAGTTGGGGCTTCGCTATGTGGTGAGGGTGAACTTGGTATCAAGGTGGGACTACTGGATGGTGGGGCGACACATCCTCTCCGGAGAGGTTGGCAATAGCGGAATTGGTGCCGGTGGATCTAGCGCATGGTCGTGTGTCGCTCAAACAGGATCCGGTGACGGGCACTATTCTGCTTGAACCTATTGTTCTAGTCCGGGGATTGATTGACCTGGGCGACAAAATACAATGGAGCCGAAGTGGTTGCGTCGTTGTACATCCAAAAAGGGGAAAGATTTCTTCTTGGTTGCGAGATGGGTGCCTAGTGGTTGCGGAAGCTGATGCGTTGGCCTTCATCGCGGACATCGAGGAGGCGGAGCGGAAAAAGGTAGAGGACCTGAATGATGAGGAGACCCTGGACGAGGATATCATGAAGTGGTGGCGGGAACGTTTTCCTCGGGTGGCTTCCCGAATGTTTCGTTACATATCGGAAAGCTAGGAATCCACATCCGGTACACTACCTTGGAACCGGAGTACACGACGCCGACTGCAACAGTCAAAAAAGATTTTGCTACACCTCTATGCTGGGGAGAAGGCGGAGGAATGGAAAAGATTAGAACAAGATGGCTGGGAGGTGATCACCCTGGACATCACCAAAGGCAAGGATCAAGATGTACGCAACCCTTGTCTATGGGGTTTTCTGGCTAGCTTGGCCAGAAAGAGGGCCATTAAATGTGTGATTGGTGGACCGCCATGCAGA